CCAGCTTTGCTTTATTGGTCATGGGGCCGCGTTGTTTTAAGAAGCTCTTGGAAAATCAAGTCCGATGGAGGGACTGCTTTAAGTTTTGTTTTGTAATGAATGAGACCCCACATAGTTCGGATCTGGTTGAATTATTTTCTGTTTAATTTAATTGAAACAGACACGGAATACCACACATTCTAACCATTTATAGCTATTAAAGAAATGACAGATTGAGTCTCCACAGGAATCAAACTTTTTGTTCATGCCATTTATTATGTATATATGTTCCCGCTGGTATGTGTGTTCACATGGATGATTTCACATATACATGCATATTATGGTAGTACATTCATGCATTTCAACTGCAGGATTGCAGTGCCAAAGTTATCTTGATAATTGTAAGTGTGTTTAAACCATCCTGTTAAATTTCTAAAGTTAAATTACATGCTAAGGAAAATATTACTAAATATGTACTTGTGACTATGCGTTTCAGGCAAACAAAGTATGTGGGAAATCTAATGTGATAACTACCACAATGCTTGGCACACAGTGGACATGAAACATTTTGAATGGACGGATAATGAAGGAGAGTCTTGTATTAGAAGCCAAGGATCTTGTATTCATCACATGATTTTTATACATTGTTCTGTAAGAAAGTAGTATTTCAGGAGGCCGTATATATGTTTTGTTTCAATAATATATGAGATCCCTGCTGTAGCTGACCCTTTAAGAAAAGGAAATTTTATTATATTTTAATTTTTGGACATAGCTAAACTTAGTGGAGATTTTGAATGTTGGTTGATAATTCATTGGGTCCTAATTTTGGAAAAAAAATACCTTTGGTCTGAATCCAAGTACAGGACAGTTCATATCCAGGTTTCCAGGATAAAATGTAAAAGGGCTCTTAGAATATGCACTCTGCTGTAACCACCATAATGTTATAATAGCTTTAATTTTGCAGTATGTTTTTGCTGACTTCATAAACCACAAAATTGACTCCTTTCTGTTCAACCAAAAGTGAAATTACAGCTTTGATTTCTCTTCTGGAATAGGTGGAATTTGTCTATGGCTGAAGTATAGTATTACTAT